GACAGCACACTACGCACTGGGGTATACTGAAGAGGCTATTGCGAACAAAGTTTTTATTTCATTCTACATAAGTACTTTTTTATTGCACTTGTTTTTGCGCAAATTCAACCACCTGGCGCGTCTGTTGTTAGTTGGCCCAAGCGAATTCTTTGTGGCACCTTGAATTTTGTGGCAAATTAGTATGAATCTTTTGGTTTATTTTGTTTGGGTAATAATGTTTTCTTTTGTGTATTCTCGGGCGCACAAGATTTGCATTACCATTAGAGTGGATCAACTACATATGTATGTAGCGAGAAAGGATTTGTGTAATTTTGAGTTAATGTAGAGTTAATCCAACGCATAGATATCCGTTTACGATTTACCCATTACAGCAAATAATTGTAGCAAGTTTTCTATAAGTTTTATGTTACTTTTTGATCGAAATACTTTTTGTAGGCTAATATAAGCTCCTCAGTAAAATATCCCTGCCAAAAATGTAACAAAACTTTTTAATATTATTTTAACACAACTCTCTTTTAAAATTATCAATATGAAACGAGGTAAGAAGACTTTAACCAAAAAAAAAAAATAATTTCAGAGATATAGCCAAAACTGGTCAAAAAGGCACCTCTATTAGTTGCTACTACAAAAACAAAAGTGAAAGATTTTTGCTCGTGTTTCATCTTATTTTTTAAGTAATTTTCTATTGATAAATTTTTTCATCATGTTTTCAACAACAAAATTAATACGAATTTTCTACTTCTATTTTCAATAAAAACAAAATATTTATAACTTTGATATTCTGGTATACAAAGAGATAAAATAGGTGAAACCCCAGTTTATTCGATGGTAAAAACTCGGTTTACTTGGTAGATACTCGAAAAATCAAGACTTCAAAAAAAAAGTCAATCATCCTACATCGACAACCGTACTGAGGTAACGTTTCTAACCATAATCGACCTATTAAACTGCCGTTTAGCAACGAAGTTGTGTAATTATTTAATTGAGAGCCATAACCAAGTTGTAGGATTCGCTTGGGGGAAAGAAATTCGCATTTTTTATATAGAAAGTTGGGCACAGTGTAGGAAAATAAACTATATTGTACGTTACTATTTCGTTTCGTTTATTACTTTAACAGTTCAGTAGTTTAGTAGTTACAGACGAAACAACAAACGAAATGAATCGTACAGAGAAAAATATATGTATGTATGTAGTACATTTACAGAAAAAAAATCTTTTTCACGTAATGGAAACGTTTGCATACATATAAAACGTAGCCTATGGTACAATTGTCACAAACGAAAAGCAAACGTTTCTCGTTGGGGAAAATGACAGTGAATCTTACAATTTGTTTCTGATTATTTACACCACAAATGATATGATGATCGATGAGCAAATGGGCATTGTTTTGTACAGTTTATTTTCGTACCCTGGTTGGGCACCCTAATATTCCTACATAAATATGATGTAATAATAGCAAGCAGATACATTTTATTTTTATTTTAGTGGCTTTGTTTACACTTCAAAATTTAGGCATATGCACTTGAAAATTGTTTTGTTTACATGATGTACTTAATTCGCAAAAACATACTAAACAATACTAAAAACAACTCAACAAAATGGAGAGAGAAAAAAATGATGGTTTCTACAATGTAACTGCCATACTCGTAAAATATATAAAATCAAAGTATACCGCAAATACAACCATATTAAAATTAAAACCGAAAACCAATTCTCCTTCGTTTAGAAAAACATCATTGCTGCGCCTAACGAAAGAGTGTTAAGAAATCTTCTGTTTGAAGACTACAAATATTTTTTAGGTGTTTGAAGAGGGCTGCCGACTGCTCAGAAATTCAAATTATTTAAAAAGGCAAATGAATTATTAAAATATGGGTGCCAATCGTAATGGGGTTGAAAAGGCTGAAGTATACTTTGAAGGGTTTCCACGTATTTTATACGCTGCATTCAAATTATTTAATAAGTTAAATGAATTTTTAAAAGATGGATATCAATCAAAATGGGTTTGAAAAGGCTTTAAGGTAGGTTCTGCAATTCACTTCCGAGTGAATTGTAAACTGGATTCGCTTTGAACACAAATTGAGCATTGTAGAAGGTTCACTCGGAAATAAATTGTATAACCTGCCTGTTTATTTTTGAAATATGAGAGGTCAAATTAAAGACCTTGGCCTATAGATGTCTGATAAAGTTTAAAATTTGGTAATATTAGCTCTGATCCAATACTTTTCGTGAAAAGCCCTGTAGAACTGTCAAACAGCAAAATTACTCTCTGAGGTGAGAGTAAAAAGTGAGTAACAAACCAAAAGTACGGGAACAAAAAATCCATTTTTCCTGCAAAAACGTCAACCAGTCATTGCTTGACACTTTTCATGATTTTACCAGAAGAAAAAGTTCGGGTAAAATTTTGCAACTTCATTCTCTACACAACTCTCCAAAAGTCGCTCTCATTTACAGGATTTTGGAGGATTTTGGAGTACGGGAACATTTTTCCTGCAACTTCCTGCAAGTTCGTGTAAAATACTGTAAGTTCATGGAGTACTGGATCAGAACTATTACTAATATAATACTATGCGAAACGGCGGCACGGATTTAGAGGAAATATGATACTCGATTCGTTTATATGCTGACTAACATTTGGAATAGTTTGTAGGTTTTTAAAATTCTATCTTGGACGTTTTAACGCCGAGCGGGTTCACTAGTAACATTATATTAACAAGCCTGTCGTTTTATTTACAATTTTGAACCAATGAAATGCATATCGTTACCTTAATTCACAAAGTCTCTGACCAACACGGTTTTCGAAACTGCGTTGTTTACGGATATATTAAAATACACCTTCACTAAAAATTGTAGAGTACCAAAAACAACGGAGTTGTATGCCACTTTTTAAAAAGCCACACCTATTTTTGATAGTAAGTATTAACCAACTTCAGAAGAAGGTCGTCGAAATATTTTTTTTTTTATGTATGTTACCCCGCATAACTTTGGACCACGATTCTTTTTCCATCGGAAGGGTGATACCTTAAGGGTGGTCCCATACTAATTATGTTTAGATCCGAGGAATGGCTCATGAAGAAATTAACGGTATNCTCTTCTTCTCAATTTAACGCTCTATTTTGCTTTTACGCTCTCGCTGCAATGTTACTGTTAGGGCCTGTGCCAATCAGTAGAAAAGTTCTATGGTGGAAAACTTTTTACTATGGTGAGAAAATTTTTCATTTCTGCTGTGCCAATTCGTAACACTTTACTGCTGGAAATTTTTGACAGTTGCTTTCATGCAGAAGAAGGCTATCGGGTTAGCAAGTAATAGAATGCAGCAGTTATAGAGAAAAGTATTTGCCTTTGCTGATTTCAGTTCTTCTGGTACTGAAATCCATGTATTATACCTTTTAGCAATAACCACTAATTTTTCTCTAATATCCACTCGCTTTGGTTGTCTGTAATTTATGTGTATACATGCGTTGTTCTGTATTCTTCGTGATATAAGCTTTGTTTCTTTACAGATAATTATCACTAGTTTTTGGCTGGAAACAGTTTCTCAACCCAAAAGACTAGCGGCTTTCGTTCTTACACTCTTCTTTTTTTGCCTCTCCTGATAATTTCTGCATGTAAAATTTTTACTAGCTGAATATAACAGCTGTCAAAACGAATAAATAGCCGTTGAAGCGTAAACAAGCGAGGTTAGGTTGCTTTATTTGTTTCTTTCTTCAAATTTTTGGTATTTCTTAAATAAAAATTTGCGAATCATTAAATATTGATGAAATTGTAAAATGTATTTGTGAATAGTTTTTATATATAAAACGCGATTGAAAAATTACGTCAAATATTTTCAAATGTCAAATACACCGATCAGGTAGTTACTTGCTATTTTCTGTTAGTTTCGTTTCCATCAATGATCCCATTCCTCTTTTTCCTGATAATTATCGGCTAGAAAACTAAAGAAAAAAAGCTACTGCTTGCTGCCAAATTTTCACTAGCCCTGCCGGATAAACAATTTTTATTCACCTCATAGCTGTCAAAAATTTATTATCCAGAGTACTTTTCTATTAATTGGCACAGGCCCTTAGTAACCTATTTCCAACAAAACAAAATTTCGATAATTTGTCGATTACGATATATTCGGAAATAGGGCTCGATATTTACCTAAGAAGTTTTCGATTTTAATTTGAAACATCATGAATAAATTTCTTGTTCGGTTTTTATTTTTCTCATTTCACTAAGATTTCTTTCTTCTTTTTACAGTCTTTAAGACTTAAGCGATTGGGGAATGATATGTTGGATATCAACTTGGAGACTATAATTTGTTTGGTAGGTATACTCATTTTTTTTACCTTCATAATTTATTTCTTTCTAAACCTCTGCTTTTTGTTTTTTAAAAACTACAAACACTCTTAAACCAAAATTTAAACTTAGTCCCGCGAAAGTGTTTTTATTAGCTGAGAATTTCAGGGGTTAAGAAAATTTTAAAACTCAGTTTTATAAAATAATGACAGGATGCCGGGAAATGGAAAGTTTGTGTAATTTTCCAGATTTTGTTTCACTGTTATTAAAGCCGATTCGTTCAGAATTCTCTATTTTGCTTTTCGGTAACATAACTTTAAATTTTATTTTCGGTATATTTGTCTTAGAGCGAAATATGATAATCATGCCTACTACGGTAACCGACGGGCCTAATCCGATTGACACTGTCATTCGTGCGAATGACATCCTATCTAACTGATGTCATTAACAGGAATTTAATCCTTCACATCGCTTGTTATACCATAGTGGGCATGAATAATAATAAAGCATTTCAAAGAGAATCCTAACTTGATCCAGTAATTAATTGTACGCACGGACATCCAAAAAGCCAAGCACCGTTATTTTTATCATTATCTTTTTGTAGCTTTGGACGTTAGTTTGTTTTTGTAGTATTAACGAATAATAAAGAATAAGAACACAGCCAGAATATATCCCATGACTAGATGAATCTTGAGAACCAAAAAAAAAAGTAACCACAACCATTTCGTTATAACTTTTCATTACCTGAATGATTTATTGTTTGTATGTATGTAAGTAATAAAGCATTTTACAATTTTGTTTGATACGATCATTTTAACATTTAGTTAATGTATGTAGTAGTGGCCACAATAATGTATGAATTTTCAGCGCAATCTTAAAGAGGTATTAAAAACAATTTAATGGGCATTAGCGAATCCGAATTAAAATTAACATAATTTTTTTTCGCACAAACATCAAATAAGCTTATGAGTATAATTGAGTAAATGTGGAATAAAAAAACATGTGAATACAATAATTGCATGCATAGTTTGGTGATAAACGCATAAAATTTAAACCAAATTGGCGAATGCAAGCGGCTTTTAGGTGGGAAGTAATTTTAATTAGTGTCTATCTTAAGCATAAGTGCTCAAATCTTAAAATTACATATTATGTTGACGATGATTGGCACCACGGGCGAACGTAAAAAATCATTGAAAAATGTGAACGATTGTTTGCATGTATATATATGTAATATGTAAAAAAAAACGACGGTTGCATAATAGCATTGCACTACTCGGCGAGTGTGTGCAACCAAAATATTAGTTAAACATACAAACACGCGCACACATTTCTCGATGATTAAGCAGCACGCTAGCAGCTGCATTCCCACACACATAACTAAAACGTGTAACCGCCTTCGGGCGTTTTCGATTGAGCCGCATTAAATTCGAGCGCACCATTAACCTCTTGTGGCGCCAACTCAGCCTCGGCATCATCGGCATTGCTGAAGTAGGCATCCACCAAAGCGAAAGCCTTTTTGTATATCTCCTCGTTTTCGTGCTCCTGTAATTTCTCCAGCTTATCCAAGCCGCCCATTTCCTCGACCATCAAACAGAGATTCTCTGTGCCGCCCAATTTTTCGGCCAATACAAACAAATTGGCAAGTCCCGTTAGTACAACCTTAACAGTGCGCGGATCCTTTGCGTCGAGCAAATCGCAGAATGGCTTCAATATTTGGTATTTCTCAATCAAATCGATTATTTGTTCAGGTGTGCCACTCGTAGTGGTATTTGTAACGGCCCAAGCGGCCTCTTTTTGTGACTTGAAGTCGCCCTTTTCCAATACATGGCGAATTTGAGTGAAAATACCTATTTGATTGTGAGGGAATTTTCGATGTTGGTGGTTAAAATCAATATAAGTGGAAAGTCATCAACGAGTTCAAAGAAGGAATGGTATAAAAGTAAACAGGAAGCAGAAAATGGTATGCTACATTTTTAAATATATTTACAACGTGAAAAGTGTTGAAATGATAGATTAGAATGAAAAACGGAAACGCAAAAAAGAGCACAATATTAATATTAAATATAAAAGGCAAGCGAAAAGATTAAAACAAGCAGAACTATCAATTTCAAGTATAGGTACTCTTTCATACCAACAAATTACAAAACCGCCAATTCCCAAAGGGACAATATGTACCTAAATGCCTCTAAAACCTAGTCGAAATTTGCGCTCTTAAACTATTTAAAATAACTTTGAAATTATCATAGTAAATAAGTAATTTAGATTTGCGATCTCTAGTTATATTTTGCAAGTTAGTCATAACAAATATGTACTTTGTTTTTTTTTTTTTTTGCAATTTTGAAATTACTGAGAATTGCTCGGTGATCCCGAAAATCGAGTTAATTTTTTTTCTATGGACATGTTTTCGAGATATTTTCAATTTACCGTTATTCAGCTTAAAGCAAAAATTGGTTAGTTTTAATCACGTATATCTTACGAACTAATTTATCCATCGATTTTCTTGATCAGTAACTTGATTTTTTTTTTTATAACAGAACAGGCATTAGTACAAATGCAAAAATTTGGCACAGAACCTGTTATTATTTTAATTTTCTTCTGTTAAAGTTTGATTCCTTAAAAAATAAAGAAAAAAACTGGAATGACTAATTTATTTGCCAGAAACTATCAGTCCTATCGGAAAGTGATGTATATATGGTTTATGGTGAATTTCATTGGCTTTCATTTGCCGTATCTTACATTAAGTTTTTTAACCTGGTTCGTAAGATATACGTGATTAAAAGGAACCAATTTTTACTTAAAGCGGAATAACTGTAAATTGCAAATATCTTGAAAACGTATCCATAGAAAAAAAAATTAACCTGACTTTCGGAATCACCGAGCAATTCTACATAGAAATTGGATAGTGGCGTCTGGAGAACAAAAAAACAAATTAAAATGTGTGATCCGATTTCGTTTCTAAGTTGTTGTCTCCATTAGCGTGCACCCATCGCAGGCGATCTGTCAGTTTGATGGCAAGCGAAAAGCTTAGCGCAGAGATTTTTGTGCATGGGCAATTCATCGCATAAGATTACGGGATATATGCCCTAAAGGTCCGAATTAACCTAACGGCAAAAAAGAGTTAAACTATGCATATACAGTTGTGCACAAAATAATAGGAGTGCGATATCATCTCTTATAAAAGTATAGCTCATTTTCTAATAAAAACTATATACATATCGTCGTTTAAAGTACAAAACCGCGTATCAACAAAATGCAAAACCGCGTATCAAAATAATGCAGAACCGCGTACGTGAGTTTGCATAAATGATTTTCTAGAGTAAAAACACTCATATTTCTAAATGGTTCTCTTTTTTATAAAGCAATCGCATTTCTGGCTAGTAAATTTCAGGACGAATGGATAAGGATCAAATTCAATTTCTGGCAGAAAATCTTAGTCTCGCGAATTTGCAGAATGACGTACGCGGTTTTGTAATTTAAAGGACAATATGTAAATCATAATTTCACCTTTGAGCAAAAATAAAAATTCAACAAAGCTTCAAATTTTTGTTTAGCGTTTTTTTTTTTACAATACAGTCTTATAGCCCATTCAATTCATTAAAATAAAGTGCAGTTTCCAGTTGCTACAAAATAGCGTTGATTTTTGGCAAATTTTTTGCGGCCAGTATGCTCGAAAATTTTTTTGGTTGGAAGAAAATGCCTGGTACTGTGACCGAAAAATTGCCAAGAATCAATGCGATTTTTAGCAACTTCATACTTACACTTTATTGTACTATAAATTCATGGGCCATAAAACCGCATAAATGCTTTTTTAATCTGAATAAAAAAATTTAAGTTTGGTGAAAATTGTTGAATTTTTAGAGTTTTTGCACAAGGTTTGAAATTTGGATTAATATAGTCATTGTTAGACAAAGAGCTTATACAAAAACTTAATAAACATTTAACAAACTAAAGGTCTGTTTATGCATACTTGAGAAAATGTGAAGCAAAATCTAAGTTCAACAGATCGCTAAGTTTTTAAAAGTTCTGCTAATTAATGGGCAATGGAATACATACAAAATACATACAAAGTACAAACGAAACGACAGTTTAAAGTTTATGCGTAGTTGCGCGAAGTTATGCGAGGTATGCATAATCAGACCATAAAGAAAAATTGTCAGAATATTGTACTCCTATTATTTTGTGCACAATATTTTTCTATACAAAAGTGAATTTCGTTTCACAAAAAACCATTGAAATTTAACAAGAGTTTAACTGCATATACAGTGGCAACCTGGTTTAATCTTCATTAATTTCAAGCAGACGTAATTTTAATATTGCAATTAGAAAAAAAAAACGGGAAGTGCTACTTAAAAAAGCAATAGACTAATGACCTACATATTAGCAGATAAAACTTTTTCATTATTCTGAACGCAATTTGTTCTAATTTTAAAATTTTAGATGTTCTAATTCAAAGCAGCGTTATTTTTGTTCGCACAAGTACATTTGTATGCATGTTTATACAAAAATTAGATTAATTAAAATTATGTCTGCTATTACAGTCCGCCTGTCATTCACTAAAGCTGCCGTGGCCGAATTTCATTCATACAAATATTTATTATCTACTCTGCTCTGGAGGTTTGTTTTTCATTTTGATACGCTTCCCGACCACCCAGAAACCAACCAAATGCCTACTCAAACATGCAACCGACCGTTCATCCATTCTAAATATGTATTTAGGTACTCCTACTTAAAAGGTTGATGCAATCCACAATTCTTCATCTATTCAACTAACCAGCTATCCAAGTAACTGAAAATTTGCATTCAAGTCCTTCACTTTCCACAAAAGTTTACAAACAGAACATAAATACAGTAGAAACAACAGAAAGAGGAACAGAAAAAATACAAAATATAAAAACAAACTTACCAGCATCGATAACGGCCTGAATTTGCTTTTGGTTTCCGGCTGTGATATTACTAACAGTCCAGGCTGCCTCCTTCACAATATTAGCCTTTGGATGTTGCAGCAAAACACCCAATCGAGGCAAGCCGTCCGCAGCAATAACTGCGTCCGTCTGGATGGTTGGGTTTGGTGATGGAGCGGTTAGAATTAAATGTAAAGCAGGTATTGGCAGGCAAACAGCAGGGGCGGCAAACAGCAATAACAAAAAACAAAAATAAAAGAAACAGAACAGAAAGAAAAACAAAGGAAACGGAAAATGAATTTATATTTTCTTCACTTTTTTCTGAGTATAAAGAAAGTAGCAGATATGCAAATGAAATTTAGCAAATGCCAAAAAGGTATGCAAATAAATAAAAAATTAAGATAAATATGTTGCTGATTCGGGGATTAAAACTACAGCTACCATGAAGGTATGAAGCGTGGGGGTAAAATTAGCAAGGTGCCAAATAATTTCCACAAATTGAAAGGCACTTAAGCTTAAAGAATAGGCCGCGGTTTGGAATTTGGCTAGAAATAAGTACTATACTAAATATGCTTAAGGGGTGAGGTGGAAATATTTTGCCCAGTAAAGAAAGCAATTGTGAGCAAGTTCTCATTATGAATGACACTATAATGCAGCCCGACGGAAGAAAGCTAAACGAATAATATCGCTTAATTTTAAAATAAAGTATGAAAACGACATGCAGGAACGCAGCCTATTAATACCGCGCTTTTATTAGCTCGGGATGTAACTCTGTAATATTGATGTGCCTAAAAGATGCAGCGATTTCCATTTTCAAGTCACATACCTGATGACAGTACGAATGGAAATTTTAATAGCGAGTTTTTTTTTAACTATAATTTTATATGTAATAAACAAATGAAAACAAAGGCAGCAAGTGCTACTTTCCTGTACAAATATATGCCCTATACTCTAAAACAATTCCGCTTGCAGAACAGCAACCATTGCAGCACAGCTACGAAGCTGTCCATCAACTACCTTCATCAACATGTTAATCCCGGAATCCAAAGTGAAAATTCGTAAATATTCATTTTCCATTTGCGAAATGTGCAGATTATGCAGCACCGGAAGTTTCAACGGAAAACAGCAACCCCATCTCCATGCCTTAATATATTTTGCTTCCTATCACGCGGCCGTAACGTGCCTCCATTTGCTCGTACTAGGAAAGTCCCACCCACCCACCTTCACACCACCATCTTTTATACTCACTAGCTTTCTCGCAATTTTAATGCGGATCTATGTCAAGTAATCGAGCTTTAGATTCATATGCAAATTTACACATAGCATTGCAAAAACTTAAGCGAACAAGCATGAAAGGACGTGTGGGGCCAAATGGTGGTGTGGCGGGTATATCGTCAAGTGTTGACAACGAATCGACAGTAGACTGCTATTCCACCACATAAATGAGTTTGTTGCCGAAAATGTACGCGTTACATCAGAAGCTGCAGTAAAAGCAACTAAAATTTAGCCAAAGGCAGCTTAACTAGTGCACAGAAAGTGGTACTTTATCTCTGCAGAGGCTTGCGAGTTTCATTTTAGTTTTTAATCTGGAATTGCATAAGGTCTTTGATGGGTGCCGCTCGGGATTTTTTACGTATATATATGTATATGGTNATTGCATAAGGTCTTTGATGGGTGCCGCTCGGGATTTTTTACGTATATATGTATACGGCTACATACATACAAATTTTTGTATGAATCTATGCAAACATGCATGTGGGCACATTTAATAAGCTCGGGACTATTATTAAGCATACAAAACAGTCTCGCATTAGTTCTAAGCTCAGAGCATACTCAGCAATTGCTTTAAAAATGCAATAAGTTATATCATATTAGCTTACCTGATGATCCGTACCGGTAACGATGTTACCAACGCTACGTAATGCTGGCACAATTATTGACGGCTCGTCGGTGCCAAGTAGTGTGACCAAACGCGACACTGCACCTGTGTCAACTACAGCTTGAATTTTTATGTTTTCATCGTCAGTCACATAGGATAGGGCCCAACAAGCATCGGCTAGCACTTGTACATCGCCGCCACAGAGCAACTCTGATAGCACAGGCAACAAGCGTTTTATCTCATCAAATGGTGGCGAAGGATTTTTGTTACGACACAAGTTCGACATCAACCAAACAATGTTGCGCAAGAAGGAAAGTGGCGTTTCACTATTTATCAAATTGAGTATACCATCGACCACATTATGCTGTATGACAATGTCACGTGCTGCTGCGCCGTCGCCTGCTATGTTGCCCAAAGCCCAAACTGCCTGTTCGGCAAGATTAATCGACTTTGATTTGAGCAGTGAAACAAAATGTGGCACTGCATTTTGTTCGATGACACAACGTGTCTGTTCCGAAGTGCCCGAAGCAATATTCGTAAGCGCCCATGCAGCCTCGAATTGCAACAAAGGACTAGAAGTGTAGGAAGAGAAAAATAAATTCTGTAAAATTTGGATGACATTTGCCCTTAGAGCAGACTTACTTCTCAAAGTTCTGCAGGAATCGTATGCAAATGGGTACAATGCCATGCCCTATCATTAAATCAATAGGAGGGTTGCGTTCGCGGCTTAGCATTTTACGTGCCGATTGCATGCCTATGAATTGACGTTCAACATCTTGGCTGTTCATAGCGGAAACCATTTCATCGATGGTCATTTGCACAGGCGATTGACTATTGGACTCCTTCAGAGGTGATACAATATCCTCTTCGTTAATATTGCGTCGCTTGAATAGTTGATCCTCTTTCTTGGATTTACGCAGCTCTACGGTGACCTCATGGCGACGCATGCGTGACTCCTGTAGAGAAAATTTTTAGATTCAAGATTTACAATGAAATTGCACAGTATTTACAAACCTGCGTGTTGATGGAGTTAGATTTGTAGGAATTTTGACGTGATGCATCGGGTTTGCTCATTTTGAATAAGACGTTCAATTAACGCAGCAATGAATGAATAACAAAGCGAACTGAAAATTTTGATTAAAAAATAGAAAAAATAAAAAAGTTACAACTCCTTCGTGAGTTCTCAAATAAATATGGAATTTTCTAGATGCTACAATACTTTCATATTTATCATTATTTTTAGATCCTGTTACTTGAAAAAACACCCGGTCTGTTTGAGGAAACGGCAATTCAGGTAGAGAAAAATCAGAATAGCGCAGTGCAGGTGCAGCAGGTAAAGCAGTACACATTTCCACAAACATTTCGGATCTTTTAGCGTATTCAAAGGCATATTTCAAGAATAATTGCGTAGAGTTCAACAATTAAGCACCTACCTCAGATTTGTCTCAATTAACCGAATATCAATCCAAAGATCGGACGAGACCTTCTTGGCAAAATTTGCTTCTTGCAAATAAAATAATACACTACGATTCAAACAAGATGTGCAGCTATCTTTTGAACAATATTTAACACTAAAAACTGCACCTTAAAACCTTTTAAAAATTTTACAAGGAAAATTCACTTCACACGTCTTCAGAATGGCAGCTCTCCGCTAAAAATGCCGTTTGAAAATTCAAAATTTTCGTTTCCCCTCACAGAAGCAGCAGAGTGTTGTGGAGACAATTGCACATGCACTTTTGTTATTGCAATAAAACAAAGAAAAACGCGCAAAAATTGTTCTCGACAGCGATTACCACGGGTGGAAATGCGCAAACAGCTGTGTCGCAGAAACTAAGTTCCTTGTCGCGATCGTTTATATTTTTGTTGCCCGCGCAAAGTTTCCGATGGTAGATAGCTGTCTCGCTTTTGCTAATGGAAATGTAGGGAATGAAATCAAATTTTCAGCACAACAGGGAAAAAGTCTACACAAATGTATATTGGCTATGGTTGAAATCAAAACAGGGTTACATTTGACAATACAAATAAATTTAAAAAAATTTCCTTATGCTACGTTTACATACAAATAAATTATACTCAAGCTTAACTCCATGATCTGTAATTAAAATAAGTAGATTAGCCACACAAAATTCCTCGTTAATCCGTAGTTATGAAATATTCTCAGATTACCCCGACAACTTTTCGGTGTCCAGCTTAATTTAATCGGTAATTTTTGCGAAGAAGAGAAGTGACAAAAGTGCAACTGAACTAAAACGGACGCTAGCAAGGAGAAGAGGTTAATTTACAAGATATTCAAGTAATTCAAGAGTCACAGAGAATCTAAACTTTTGCTTGAGTTGTGAGAAAAACAAGCACCACAATCTGTCTAGCTAGTAATCCGAGATTTGAGTGAGTAAACGAGGTTACCAACAAACGAGCTTAGAATGAGATTATATTTATATGCATGCTTATCCTTGTCCTTATTCTTATCCTTATACTTATCCTTATCCATAGGATTATCCTTATCCTTATCCTTATTAATATCCCTATCCCCATCCTTATCCTAATTCTTATCCTTACCCTTATCTCTATTATTATCCTTATCCTTGTCCCTATCCTTATCCTTATCGCTATCCTTATCCTTCTCCATATCCTTATCCTTATTCCAATCCTTATCCTTATCCTTATCCTTATCCTTATCCTTATCCTTATCCTTATCCTTATCCTTATCCTTATCCTTATCCTTATCCTTATCCTTATCTTTATCTTTATCCTTATTCTTATCCTTATCCTAATCCTAATCCTATCCTTATCCAGTATTTATTCAAAATTGATATGTACATACAATCGCTCTTTAGCAACAAATTGTTTTTTTAAGAAATTTTAGGAAAATGGCTCGTTCGAAATTTGGATAGAGTATTGCCATGACACCTGGGCCTATAATAGCGTGAAAAGGTCTAGGATTCGACAAGGGGGCGTCGTGAAATTTTGAATCAGCCATAACTTCGGAACCATAAGTCCGAAGAAATTGAAATTTGGTACGCAGGCATATCTATGGTAGGCGCTTATAGCAGGGTATACAGTTTGTAGAACGGGGCGTGGCACCTTCCATGGGCGTGGACATTTTGTATCAGCTATAACTTCAGAACCATTAGTCACATGAACTTGAAATTTGCATCCGTATTCTAACAAAGTCACAAACTTTAGCTAATCACTGCTGTGATTTCTACCGCGCCTCAAAGCTGGCCTCTCAAAAAATATGCCGCTTCAATTCAATTTTTTAAATTTTTGTGTATTTTTCTAGCACTCAAAATCGAATTTTTTTTGTGACACATTTCTCGGCGCACTTGAAATCACAACAGTGATGAGCTAAGTTTTGTGACTCTGTTAGAGTAGAGGGGTTGGTGTACATATATATCTATAGTAGTTGCTTATAGTAGACTGTAAATAAATGAGTTTGTAAAAGGGGGTCTGGCACATGCCATAGGCGTAAAATTTTTTACCAGCTATAACGTCGGCAGAGTTGTGAAAAACGCATTAATTTTTTAATGCATTAATGGTACTTAAAGCAATAATGTTAATGTAAACAATTGGTGCATTAATTTTTGAAATTTAATTTAAATGAAAATTTCAATGCATTAATTTTGGAAAATATAATGCCACTGAAAATTAAATTTACCAAACTAACGGGCAGAAAGAAAAAAAAATGCATTAGCATTATTTCTTCGGGATTAACGCATTGAAATTTTCATTTACATTAATTTTCAAAAATTAATGCATTAATTTTTTTCATTAACATTGACATTAATAGATTTATTTTTAGACAGTACTACATATTTTGAAATTGTGGAAATTAGTGATGGTGAAAGCTTAAAAAATTAGAAAAATATTTTCGATACAAAATCTTGACAATCCAAGTCTGACAATGGATTATAATACATCATTTTGAAAGCCTATAAAGCCTCCTCTCACAACATGTTCGATCTTTAAAATTGAATGAAAACTAGTCATTCAAAAACTGATAAATCTACAAAACTGCACTGACCTAAAATGACAAGTCGCGAATCTACAAAAATAGGAAATAATATTTCTCATAAAAAGGAAGTAAATTAGGGGGTAGGGTCTTGAAATTAAAAAAAAATACAAACTTTCGATGGGCACCCTAATGTACATACGAGTCGGTCATTCCTTTTTGACCTCCGCAATATGAGTGCCGTAGACCCCAAGATGTGTGAAGCTTAAAAACCATTTATTATCAACATAGTCAAGGACTCCTCTTATCAACAACAGCCAAACTGGCAACAGAGAGCATAACATAAAATCCACAATTCATTCGCACTGCTGTAAAACAATTCCAGACAGTACCTGATGCTGTGTACATGCCACTGGGATATCCTTGTGTTATTAATATCTACTTTTCTCTCGTCCCATCTCCTGTTCTCTCTCGACCGGTATTTTCACATTTTACAGCTTATGGATACTCTGCAGATTTCGGCAGGCTTGCGCTCTCAGGTTCCACAGCTAAAATGTTTCCGTTATAGAAGGTGAGTGGATGAGTGTTTAGCTAACAGTCGACAATTATTACAGGATTGGTAAAGCTGAAAGTAGCAACAGTGTCAGCTATGATGAAACTGCAATTTGATTTCATGCATCAGTTCACACCTAAAAATTGTTTGGGCTACTACGAGAGGAAACTGAATGCAAGGCGTTGGTTATTTTTTAAGAACCTTTGAGAGAATTGTGCATACAAACACATACATATATCTATGTATTCTTAGCATGTGGATATATGAACATGAAGTTATGTGTGTATGCATGTCTGACCCTAACGGCGAGTCGCACCTTTGGCAATGGACTACTTTATCCAAGCGTTTTCTTTACCTTTACACACTCTACTTTGTTGTTCCGCTGCCGCACTTCAGTTTCAAATGAAAATACCTCTTTAACTGTTAGCACACTAAATTAAGTGATACTTTGAAAATTACTTCATTATGCGGCACACTTTAGTTGTCGCCTTCTAGGCGCACAGACGCTGCCATCCCCCACTGTGCTCATGAAAATAACCGTGAACCTACATGCATACATACATACATATGTATGTAATTCCTTTTTACTTTGCAAGTCACACTTAAAATGAACCCTAATTTCATTAAGCTACCACCCTCTTATACTTTTGTGGCGGTGTCCTGTGTATTATTCGCATGATATACGCCCAAAAGTATGCTTTACATAATATTATGTTAGCAATTGAGTCGGCATATTTGAAGGTCGTCGAAGTAACACATTTATGCAAAAATCATTGTATGGTTTTAGGCGTTGAACATTATTAAATATACTTTGTAAGTGCTAACAAATACAAGCGTATATTTCTTTACGTAGACATGTACCCTGCAAAAAATTGTGCGACTAATCTCTAAAGAGAGTATTCCGAGATTACACTCAATCGGGTACCCTATTGTTGCAACTAGTCTCATACGGGTACTAATGGAGATCAATTAGTCTCGACTCATCCCTTATGGGTATAATTGGAGATCAATTAGTCCCAAACTCATCTCTAACGGGTACTATTAACGATTTAATGATATGTTCGCACTTAGTCAATGCAATTTCATGTGCGGCGTTGGCACGCAGAGAGAGTATTCGCCTAACAAAACTGAGC